CAACAAGACTGACTTCACATTTCATCAATTGAAAATCCTCAGCTTTTACTAACTTATGCCTACTTGGTTGGAGAATACGCGTCATTGCAGGCGGCACAATCTGTCCCCGTAGTTTTATGCACCCCGCTTGATTTAGTAAAATAACGACATCCTCTGTATAGCGACATGATGCCCAGGTCTCGATTTTTCCTTACATACAGGGACGAAGGCTGACTTGTTTGACAGGGTAATCAAAGTGAAATGGGACCAGATAGGGCCTGGAGATATCACACTCACACAGGTCACAATAATCTTACTGGCACTGGAGGCGGCAACTCTGATTTGTGAATGAAAACAAATCCTGAATTCATGTTGTATGCATGCTCAACCGCTAAAATAATCGGGAAAGTATTTTATTAAAAATTTATTCTAACTAACCTTAAATTTAACTTTAGATTTGAACACACGAACACCAAGGAAAGAAGCAGAGATGTCAGCACTACAATAGCAGGTTATACCAGACAGCCGAAACACTTTGGTAGAGCATACCAATTATTATTTTTTTATTTCACATTTGGCTTTCTTTTTTGTCTAGCTTTTCGCGGCCAGGAGCCGGTGTCATAATCGAGGTCACGATCTGATTATAGGACGTTAAAAAGTCGAGGGAAAAAAAACAAGCACTCGAAGCAGTCAAAGGATTATAATTATTAGGAGTTCGTTCCCCTCACATCTGTGAGGTAGACTCGACCAGTGTAATAGTTCGCTTATATAATCAGCGCGTCTGGGTGCTTATAACTGTGGCCCGAAAGGGGTGAACAGGGTATATGCGACAATGAAACAGTTTTGACTGCTATGCACATGTTCCCCTCAACTCTACTGGTTGACTCTTCCAGCCTCACTTTAAGCTTACTTAATCAAAGCTTGTGACTGCTTATGGAGTGGCCCGATAAGGGCGAGCAGGCTATTTCTGTGGCAAGGAAACGGTTTTGAAGGTAAGGCATAGTCTATTGTTCATTGGTGATTATGAACGTCTTTTTACATTTAATTCATGAGGTTTACGTCTATGGGTGAATTTGACTGCGACAATGTTTCAAAATTAGAAAGGGAAGCAGTGATTATTTGATTATATAGACGCTTGGCCTCTGGGGGCAAAGGAGGTGAGGGGGTGGGGGCAGAAAGAGGAGACGAAAGCAGACAACAGAATATTGCTAGAGAGCAGGAAAGGAGGTGAAAGGAGAACATTTTAGAGAAGAAATTTTTTCGGTCGCTACCCGGATTTGAGCCCGAGACCTTTGAATGAGAGGCCAACACCTTAATTAACCTCTAGGCCACGAAAGCCCCCTCTGTATATCTGACAACTTCACAGAACTTTGGTAGTGCTTTCTTGGACTTCTGGAATTGATTGGCCATTGCGATCCTCTAGTTAGTTAGTAGTATAGGGTTTTACGGCGTTCGCAACTTGTGTTTGGACCAGTTAACGCAATACCTGATATCCTTTGGACCAGTTTACGCTACACCTGAATACCTGATACTTTTTGGACCAGCTAACGCAATACTTGATACCTTTTGGACTTGTTAACGCAATACCCGATACCTTTTAGACAAGTTTGCGAAATAACCAGTGCCGGTTCTTTCACTGGTCACTTTATGTTGGCTGGGCAGTGGACAAGAGATTGATTGCATACGATAATTTGTATTTAGTTGAAAGTTAATGAACTTTAATAATATTACAGTATTATAAATATAATATTATATCAACGTTCAAAAAGTATTCAGACGATATGACGGCGCTCCGAGAGCCAACAAGGGTTCACTGGTATATTGTTGCAGTACAGAGACACGTTCCTTCATCATATTTGTTTATCACGCCAGCTCGAAACTATTATGTAAATCACTCCCTGTGACGATGTGGAACTAATCTACGCTAGGTCTTACCAAACGTCAGCCTTCCCGGCCAATTCAACTTTTGCCCACAGGGCGCAAAGAAAAGACGGTTTCTAATTGAAATTGGCCTCTCTGGCAGGGCATATCTGCAGTACAAATACATATTATTTTACATAAAATTTAATCAGTTACATTTATCTTCACACTGTCTGCTGTCTATTAAGATAAGATGCAAGTGTATATATATATATATATATATATATATATATATATATATATATATATATATATATATATATATATATATATATATATATATATATATATCTATATATTGTCAGCATATTTCTAATCTTTAATACCTGTTGTATTTTAATTGGTGCTCTATTCGTCTATTACTCTCTGGAGTTACCTTACTAAATTTGCTTGGCCTTGACTCGAGATCTGGGCCGGCTATTCTGCCTACCGCCCAGTTCGGCTGCCAGAGAGAATATGGACCTGAAATAATACCCCCCCCCCAATCTCCCATTTCCTAACTTCATCCCAGCTGCCAGATTCTAATTTCAATTCTATAATTAGCATTATATTTTGACACAGTACCCCACTTAGAACAGAGTGCTAAGAACTGAGAAGAGGAATGAAAAGCAGGACTTTTGAATATGATCGGAAATTGTTGTGCGATAAATTTGTTCAGTGTGTATGCGTGTGTGTTTAGTGTTTAGTACAGTGCAGAGATCGGGTTCTAGACTTTATCTGCATGGGACAGCGTCATTTGTAAGGTATTGTAATATATTATATCTTATAAATCTATTTTTACTTGGCAAGTGCGCGTCGAGACTTTGTACTTTTGTATGATGAGTGTGTTGAAAGTAAGTTTTTGGGAGACGTACGGGGGGTGGGAGGGGGCACGACTAAAAGGTGGTTGCTTCCCACTTTCAGTTTGTTTTCTAGAATACCGTAGACGTGCTACTAGGTCCGTGCTGGTCAAGACAGTTTCTATCCATATTTCAGTGGCTTCAATCAATGTCTTGAAACTCAGGTTTACATTTTGAAGTTAATACGGCGTGGACTTTTTTCTACTAAACCTTCTTTTCACACATGAACCCCCCCCCCCCCCCCTTCTCTCTCTCCCTATCTCTCTTTTTCTCTCTCTCTCCTCTATCTATATTTTTCACACACACACACACAGAAAGAGAGAGAGAGAGAGAGAGAGAGAGAGGGAGAGAGAGAGAGAGAGAGGGAGAGAGAGAGAGAGAAAGAGAGAGAGAGAGAGAGGGGGGGGGGAGAGACAGAGAGAGAGAGAGAGAGGGGGGGGAGAGACAGAGACAGAGACAGACAGAGAGAAAGAGAAACTCAAAGGTGTACCGGTAGGTATAAAATGGACAGTCTGTCTGTCTGTCTGCCTGCCTGTCTGTAGGGGTACGGTTTTGAGGGGAGGGGGATATTGATGGGAACTGCAGCCGGTCAGTTCTACAAACTGCGAGCCACCCCTACTACAATGTCATGTAGTAATACCCGATCCTTTTTGGACCAGTTGAACAGGTGTAATATACTGACTGGCATAAATAGCGCGAAAAAGTAACACCATGTTGTATCGTGACCGCTGGTGGGTGTCATTGCTTTTTTTTTTCCATCACAATCACAGACGGCGCGGTACTGAGTTCATTCGGTATGTCCCAGTTTAGTTTTAGTAAGAATTTTACGACACTTGCAACACAATAAGGCCATATAAGTGGCGAAGATTAGAGGTATTACAAGAGAGTAACAAAAAAAAAGGAGGAGGAGACATAAGGATGATAGATGTTTTTTTAAGTTTTAGTAAGAGTTTTACGTCACTTGCAACACAATAAGGTCATATAAGTGCCGAAGATTAGAGGTGTTACAAGTGAGTAACAAACACAAAAAAGGAGGAGGGAAGATAAAGACGACAGATGCTTGATAGGAAAGAAGGAGCAAACCACACCAGAGCACCCGCCAACCACCCACTGATAGTGATAGATGTTTGATAGGAAAGAAGGAGCAAACCACACCAGAGCACCCGCCAACCACCCACTGATAGTGATAGATGTTTGATAGGAAAGAAGGAGCAAACCACACCAGAGCACCCACCAACCACCCACGGTATGCCCCAGGTCAAGGGATTACTCTGGTCTTGATAACGTGTTTGGGTCATCAGTCCACATATCATGTTTGTTGTACTTATGCACAATACCCCAAAAATAGACCCATGTATGTGCACAAAGAGTGAAAGGGCCGAATGAGCAGGAGACGAACTCACTAGTCCAACATGTTGACGACCAGGCTATGACGAACACAATGTGAGGGATATCATTTTTTCATCATACTGGTTAATCTAGAAATAGGTAAATGTCTGATTATCTGATTATGTCATTTAAAGCATTGGAAGGAAAACCGATACCATTATTATTTGTATGTGTAGATGAATAGAGGAAAATTAACTCATTAAAAATGTGTCGAAAAAAACAGTACAATAGTATCTTCATCTTCTTTTCCTCTTCATTATCCTCTTTCTTCATCTATCCCCCCCCCCTCCTCTTCCTATTCAT